ATGGAAGATCAAGACAAGGATGAGGGGCCCGGCGTGCCCGACATGACGATGATGCCGCTCATCACAGAAGACGCTATAAATGAAAACCTCAAGCGGCGATATAAACACGACCTTATATATGTATCCTTTAAAAAATTTATTAATCCATAGAGCATTTTAGTATGATTAGTAAAACTATATGTATAATACAGTTTTGACTAAGTAATGTTTCATTGAGCAAATTAAATTTTTGTAAAGAGATAGAAGTAGTATAATAATAAGTAATTTTATATACATAAAAGGTAATTTGTTTGAATATTTTCTTTGTTATTACAATTATATTATTATTGAGAGAATGTGAAATGAATACTTGAATGTATATTTTAAATTACTTTATTCAAAAGAATTCTGATACTTTAGCTTCTTAAAAATCTCAAAATCTTCGTCTGCATCTTACAATTTGTTTTATGTTAGTACTTGTAATTTTTCTTTTGTTGTTTTACCAGTGAACACAACCTACATGTTAAAGTCTTTTCATACCACATTTCAACGACACGACCAAACAAAACATCTCCGTGTGTCAACGGCAGCCTTTGCCCTAGTTTTCTCGAGATTCTTATCCTGAAAATTTCCTGTGATTTTCTTCTTATTTTCCTTAATACCTACTTGTGAAGACTTATACAGGTTCAATTCTTGTGGCCGTCAATCCGTACAAGGAGCTGGGATGTTATAATTTCGTAAGTATGAATCTTCACTTTTACTACGATAACTTGCTAAGAAACATTGTCAAAACTTACCGACTGGCCAATTGTTTGGAATTTACACGGGTGACATATTAAACTTAAATTAATAGCGTTTGTTTGCGTAATATGCATAGGCATATTAAATTACAACGAAACAAAAAGTCCAACTGAAAATTAATTTCCTAAGGCTATTGACGTTTCAAAAATGAACTGCCTCACAAAAGCTTGAAACGAAAGCTACAATGAGATAGAGGTGCATAAAATCCATGAATGGTTCGCGCCAAGGTCATTGTTGCTAAGTGGACAAAGCTCTATGGAAGCGTCAAACTGCGCTTTTTATATCTATTGTCAGGACGCTGGTGACTAAAACAACTTGTTTAAATTTTTCGCATCCGTTGATGTTTCGAGTCACATCTGTGTTTATTCTGTTGACCTCATTGTTGCTTTAAACAATTTTCAGCGCCAGAATGATACCTCTTGTCTGTAAATATTTAAAGAATATTGTCGCCAAAGTGGCGGTTCGGCTTTCCGCGTAGCCCACAGCACCATCAAATATTGCAGGCTTTCAACTTAGGCCAGTTAATATAAAAATAGTACCAGAAGTTTTATTGTTACTCTGTAAGAAATCTAAGCTTTTGATTCGGTTGTATTTAGAAAGAGAATATTATACCTATTTCTTTTGGTGTATAACTTTAGTAAGAAAAAAATTATATTGTCTTTTATTGACATAACTTTTACACATAGAAAAACACTTTTTTAACGGATTTGAAGTTATGTTTTATTATAAATTTACAATTATTTTACATAATTATAAATTTAACCGACGTTTCGCGTGCTTTACAGCGTGCGTGGTCACGGTGACTGCAGAAGACAAAAGGTGTTGAATGTCAAAAAGTATCACAGCTGTAGAAAAAGTTGTGTTATCTGTATTTATTTCCCCGGAGTTGGTATCGACTAAAAAAGTGTTTTTCTAAGAAAAAAATTCTTTAGTACTTATAATGAATGTCGGTCTTACAGGAGGATATGCAAACGTACCGTGGCAAAGCGTTTGGTGATCTTTCTCCTCATGTATTCGCATTGGCAGAATCAGCGTACAGCTCCTTACAGGTAACAAAATAGCAGCTCTCATTTTTAAGTCGGTTAAATCGTGACCCATCTAAATCGTGTACAAATGCCAGTGGGCGTTCCTAATTTCATTCAAAGAACGAATGTAATGTGTTGTTTTCTCCACACATACTTCACGAAGCTTTTCTTAAGGTATTATTTCGAGTAGTTTATCGGGTACTATTAAATAATATTTAATAAGATCTTCTTTTAATCACCACACATAATCATTTTAATTTATTAGTAAGAATGTGTAATGAATAAAAGAAACGTACTATGGGTTTAAAGTAGAAAAATCGGTCGTCTGTAAAGTCGGTTTACTGACGATAGTTGAACGTGACAACATCATAAGAATCAAATCAAAAAGATTCAATACATTTATTATCAAACACGAGCAGTAAAAACATGCTTTAGCTATTAATACTCAAATAGTCGGGAATTTTGTTACTAAAGTCCCAAATTAATTATGAATTTTAGAATGGCGAGAAAAATCAATCAGTTGTGATTTCGGGAGAGAGTGGTGCCGGGAAAACGGAAACAACAAAACTAATTCTTCAGTACCTCTGCGCGGCTGGTGGACAGGCTTCGTGGGCCGAACAGCAGATCCTCGAAGCCAACACTGTGTTAGAAGCGTTCGGTATGTATGGAAAATTTATGATAGAATTTGTTGTATTAAAATAGTTTTTAGAATTACATAAGTTTATAGACAGTCAAGAAATTCTGTCGGGCTTCTGGACTATTACTTAAAGCGTATTTAGCTTAGTATTTACTCTGAGACTTGCCAACTACATTATTATAATTCCCCCTCGTATTTAGCCATTTAATTAGCTTCAATGTTTATTTAAGACTTATTTATTTAAAAAAAACTATATTTAGAATATGATACAACATTTCTTTTAAATAAATTCTTCTACGATTAACACTACATTCTACTCAAATAATGTTTCCGGAAGCAACTTGACAATTTTTATAAAAATACTTTTTAATCTAAATCGCTAGTGTTTATAAAATTTTATAAATTCCTACGATACGAGACCCAATTAAATTTAGTTTTAAAAATAATTTACCGAATCGGTCCGGGCGCTTTCGAGCGATATGGTAACATGAATATAAACAGATTCCCATAAGATTAACATTGGGTTATTTTTTAAGTCTCTTAAAATTATATTACATTTTAAATATTTATCCTTTCAGGAAACGCAAAGACAGTGCGAAATGATAATTCATCGCGTTTCGGCAAGTTTGTTGAAGTTCGACTCGACCATCGTGGAGGTATAAGAGGCGCAGTGTTGAGAGATTTCCTTCTCGAACGAGCGAGGATCACTGGCCCAGCGCCGAGAGAAACCAACTATCATGTCTTCTATCAGTTGGTAGAGGGCGCAAGAGTACGTTATTTGCATTTGTTATTCGTCATAAAGTATTTTACTAATAAGTATAGTTATAAAGTTGAGAGATATGCAATTGTTAATATCTAATTTAAGATTGCAAGAAACAAAATGTTCATAAAGTAAAATGGAAAGAGTCATAATACTATGATCAGAAATAAAACGTTAATAATGAATTGTATTCCTCGGAGAATAACCATATAACTTTTTAGTTATTTTTTATATATATTTTATATACAGATTTTTCTAACTTAAAACCTATCCAACAACAAGTTCTTTCACGTATATTAATTTACTAATACGTTCAAATTATATTTTCAGCATAATGCCGAACTCAAAAATATCCTTCGCCTCCGAGATGGTGTCACCTTCAAGTACCTACGACCTGAAGATGAAGAGGCAAGAAGTCGTGGTGGGGAACAGGGCAAGCTGGAGGCGTTACAACTGGCCCTAACAGTGCTCCAAGTGCCACCACACATGTGCGAAGGCTTATTCAAAGTATTGGCTGCGGTATTGTGGCTGGGAAATATACAGTTTCAGGTACAAACAATGAAAAAATTGTAACAAAGTTATCGGGAATATATTTTTCTTCAAAGGTTTCCCTAATATTATAAAAAGTATTTGGTTTAAACAAATAAATCGGCTCACAATGAAGTGTGTATTCCCAAAAGCGTCTTCTACCATTTTTGTTGTATGATCTTCAGAGTGGTGCACCAATAAATCAAATTTATTTATTTATCAAGAAGTCTCTAGGAAAAGCTTTTAAATGATCACAGATATATGACCCATCTTCATGGATGGCACTCATAACTGACACAGTTTTCATGATGATTCTAAAGTGCCCTGTAAACGATCAAATTGTTTGTCAAATTTTACGTGTTTGTCAAATTATTTGATAGTGTACTGCTGTGTTTGAGGCGGTGGCCAAACAATATACGTGTTTGTCGTGTTTGATGAAAATCTGGATTGATGTCGAGTTTGACAAACAGGTTTGAACGTGTACGGCGGTGTTTGTCAAACAAGATCTCACTCGTTGTATTGACATCACGGAGGACGCTACGCTCAGTGACGATATGAGTGGCAATATTACGAACAAAGAATTTACGTTGCATTTCATATCTGTTTATCGTGATATGCCGATGTTATTGAAAATAAAATCAAAAGATTATATGGACAAGAACTTTATTTTTTTCAATACGAGGATGAAGTATAGTCAGTAAATCTTTAAAAGTTTTATGGTCCATGCGCAGAAAGTTTGCGTAGTCTTCAGGTTCTGTACGCAATATTTCCCGTAGCAAATTCTCGTTGGTATATTTATCTCTTAATTTCAACCATTCTCGACTACATCGTCGTCTTGATACACAGTGCTAGAGTCAATGCCAAAAATGCGTCATCTGAATTACTCGCGCTCGGCACGGCGACGTCACGTCACGAAAGGAGAAACCAGAATCTACTAGAAATTTAACAAATTTGATTGATTGGTTTGATCGTTTAAGCTATTGTTTGATGAAAACGTGAAGTTTGACAAACAAATTTGACAAACAATTTGATCGTTTACAGGGCACTTAAGAAACATGTCATAACTATAGTCAAAAGTCAAAAATCATTTATTCATATAGGTAAAACAATGTACACTTATGAACGTCAAAAAAAAAATACATTAAATGCTTCTAATTTTACATTTACTGCCAGTTCTCAAATTTAGGGCGTAGAACGGAAAAGAAGACGACTGGCAATAAACTCTCCGCCATTCTTTTTAATCGCCTTAAAAACTTAAGAAAGATTTACTGTGGTTCTAACAATTCTAACATAAACCTAATGTCAACTTAAACATCAAAAATTGCTTGCAGTACCTTACCTGACTGGTAGACAAAGATTCGATAACTAAGGAAGTAAAATGGAAATATTAATTTTCCAGGATATAGACGGTGAACGTACCACACTGGCCCCAGAAGACGCAGAGGCTGTAGATGCAGTAGCTAATTTATTAGGATTGGCTCCGCCCACCGCACGACGAGTACTATTGGAGAGACAGATCAACGTGCGTGGGAACGTCACTGATATTCCGTTTAGATTGCCCGAGGTGAATTATCGTTAATTAAACATAAACTACGCTTTAATAAATAACGTTACAAATCTAAAAAAAAAATATTATTTCAGTTAAGTTTAGCTGCGTTGCAAAACTTTCTTACGCTTAAATTTTTCTTTGTAATTTATTATTACTTATTTTTGAAAAATATTAAAAACTGATCCCCTAATTTTATAGCTTCATATGTGTTAATTAACCGCGTTTTATATTAATATATTTTGAAGTCGGTTTTATTTAAGCTTTATTGATAATAATTGATACGTTATTAAAGAGTATATTAGAAGTTTAAAAAAGAAATTATTTTTTAAAATTTTATATTAATTAATTATTACTATGTCGGTTAAGAAAATTGTGAATACTGTGAATTTGTGTATTAAAGATTTATCATATCAGAACTAATATTTTTTTCTTAAAGCTTCACGATTTAAAAGAATTGGAAAATGGAAATACCATAGACAATGCCACTAACCACTAACACTAACATTTCCACTAACCTTATTATTATATAGTATATATATATATACCCAGTGACACTTTAATCTTGATTTCGTAATTAAACGGCCGCTCTGCCCATACTTCATTGAAATGTCTTAAGTTAAAACATGTATATGATAAAATTCTATGACTAGAATAACAATTTTGATTATACCATTACAGGCAAGAGAAAACCGTCACGCTATGGCCCGTGCTTTATACTCTCGAACATTTGCCTGGCTCGTCCGCCATGTCAACAGCTGTTCTGCACCTGGAAGAGAGGCGAGACGAGCTTTAGGAGTTCTAGATATTTTCGGATTTGAGAATTTTGCGTCTAATTCTCTTGAACAGCTATGCATCAACTATGCGAATGAGAAACTCCATATGTTCTTCAACAATTATGTGTTCGCGTTGGAGCAAGAAATTGTAAGTATATGTAATTAGTTAGTAAAAATTTGGAGGGATGTGAATTAGATTTCTGATTTCTTGATTCTAGTAAAAAATCAAATTCGAACATCTGTGTTTTGCTTGGTTGACTGATCAAGTTTATTATTTCTACCCACATTTTTGGTGCTTTGTTATTTTATATATGTACCTACATCTGTGCGCTCTAATTTCTAATTTTTAATCTTAGTGAATTTTGTATGCAATTCATCTTATGAGAAATGCAGTTATTCTTAAACCAAAAAAAAAAAATTATAGGTCTTTTGAAACTAAAAGTTACGATTATTTTGACGTAAAAATATCAATTCAAATAAGAAGTCAAAGTATTTTTGTGTATTAAAATATTGCACACCATTACAGTACCGTCAAGAAGGTATAATATACAACCAAATACCATTCACGGACAATGCTGCCTGCTTAGAATTGCTCGAGAAACCACCAAGAAGTCTGCTTAAACTGCTCAGCGAACAATGCCATATGCCTAAGGTAATTTTTACAAAGCAAATTCCTCAATTTGGATATAGATAGATAGATAAAATTGTATTTTTTTTTGCTTTTTAACTTACTATTAGATACGTGATAGGGATCTTATTAATGCAGTTTTTTATAAAATTATAATAACTAAACCTATTATACAATTATTATTCAAAAATGTATGTTATATTTCCAGGGCTCTGATAGCGCATACCTAACAAACATTCAAGGTGAATTCGGCGACCATCAGACGTTCGTGAAAGGATCCCGTAGAAAATGGGAAGAGGAATTCGGCGTACAACATTATGCGGGCACGGTTACGTACAGCGTACACGGGTTCGTCGATAAGAATCGAGATACCCAACAGGACGCGTTCATAGACCATCTTAGTCGATCCGCTAATCCATTTGTACGGGAATTGGCGGATTATGTACAGGATTTGGCACCGCCTGGACAGGTAAACTACGAGGCATTCTAAAATTTTCACCATATCCGCTATAAAACCAAACGATTGAATGAAATAGTTAAGGTAATAATTAACAATCGGTTTTTGTATGGAAAATTTGAGCAGCGCTCCGTGGCCGCATTTGGAACTAAACGAATGAACATGTACCGATTTAATGGAAATATTGAAGTTTTATATTATATTATCTACGCATTCCATGTATCAACAATATTATTATCTTGACTTTATGAAAGAAAATTGGGGGATGTACATGGGGTGAAAACATTTGAAAATTGTATTTTCTACCAATAAAAAACTAAAGTGATTATATTTATTTTTCAGGACGTTTCTCTATCGAGTCCCGGTTCAACAAGTACAACACAACGAGGCACTTCTAAAGGACGGCCAACTGTTGTCGACACCTTTAGAGCGCAATTGCAGTCTTTAGTCGACATGTTACAAGTTACTGATGTTTGGTAAGTCGACCTATTCTTTATATAATGGTTACTTATTTTGCAAATTAACTCGATAACACAAATTAAGGTTATTTTAACTTATTCCAATGGGGCACACAAGAGACATATGTACATTGACCAATTCTCTTTAACAGGAAAGTACAAATAATTGCGCACTTAGAAATAAAAATCTATTGCTATAGCCGGAGATTGACGCACGAACTCTGGATTGAAAAACTTGGAAAAAAGTTTTCTCAATTTTCTTACAACTTTTTATGTTTATGAATATATATAATTTATTATGGAAATACTATAACCTACTATAATAAAAATGAAAAACTATTTCCAGGTACGTCCGTTGTATAAAGCCAAACGAAAACAAAGTGGCTGGTAAATTCAATGAAAAACTTGTGTTGGAACAACTCAGATATTTGGGCATGAACGAGATAGTACGGATCCGAAGAGACGGGTATCCGGTTCACTTACCAGCACCGCTGTTCCGAGCTCGGTACAGATGTCTCTTACCCCATCCGAGGCCCTTAGAACCGGATATAACGTGAGTATATGTCAAGATGTCTTCTTTAATAAAATCCCAGAGGCTCTTTTATCTCTGCCTTTCAATAAATTTAAGAAATGTATTAAAGAAAAGCTGTGTAAAAAGGCTTACTATAAAGTCAACGATTATCTAGTTGATAAAAGGGCCTGGGACTAGTGCTAGACAGGCTACCTCTAATTAATTTGCGATATTTGTTTTAAAATAAGTGTTGTTTGATGATTTGCTATTTTAAAAGAGTACCGAGAGTTTTTCACGCCGGCTTTTTCTCTCGGCCTACACCCTCTGTCTTCTTCTTTGCCGATGAGTAGGGATGCCTACAAATTCAAATTTAATGACGTGGAATATGTGATACATGTATCTTATGTTCCATAATAAACATATTTTATTTTTTTATTTTATATTTATTTTAAGAAGTGGACTATAAATAAATCATTTGTTGACCATGGGTGTCAATAACAAGTGCCTATTGTCGCACTTTCTACCTAACACTAAGATTGTAAACCAAATATCATGCCTTGTTTGAATTAAAAAAAAATATTAATTCAAGTAGTTAATTTTGTTTTTAGTATGTATAATATTATTGCAATGAATATCGATGCTTTGGTGGACGGAGAAATTATGACCAATTTATTTTCTTTAATAAAAATAAATAATACATAAATATAAATAATTTAACTTGACTTGAGATGGTTATTGTTCCAACTTATCAATTTGAATAACTGAAAATCCAATATCATTCAAAATAATTTCTATGTGTTTTAGAAGTCACTTATACTTCAATGCTTAATAAAAAATATCGGTTTCTATCTATCAAAGTATTGAGTCTAAAATAGAAATTGATATTATTTCAGAGACATTATGTTACTAGTAAATGCACCGAAAGACGACTGGCAAATTGGTCATACTAAAATATTCATGAGAAGTTCAGTACACGCACCTCTAGAAGCTAAAAGGACAGCGTTGCTTCAGTCTTCGGCGTTACTCATTCAAAAGGTATAATTTTCTTAATCAATATACTATGTTTTATACCACCTTGAAAAATCAAATTACGTTTTTATGTAGGGTAGAAAAAAATTCAGTATTCTAAAGGTCGATTTACATCAAACGAACATAGAGCTAGAGCTAGAACAAGAGCATTCTTTCGTAATCTTTTAGTGTAAACGAAAGCTAGAGGTATCGATTTACATCAAACGAACATAGAGCTAGAGCTAGAACACAAGAACGCTTTGAAAAGACCGCTCAGTGGCGCGAGCACGTCCGAACACGCTAGAACGCTCTAAGCAACTGTTCGCGCGCTCTTGCGCCGTTTACATCAAGCGAACGAGCATTCTTAGAATATTCTATAGAATCTTTGCGAACGCACTAAGAACAACGAAAGAATGCTCTACGCCTGTTTACACTAGAAGAATTTGATGTAGTGGGGATAGAATGAGCATTCGCTCGTTTGATGTAAATCGACCTTAAGAGGAGGACGTACCCGGTTCATTACACATTACTTGTAGGTACATAGATCCGACCTGTCCTTGATATCAACATCAATCCTAGTTTCTATCTCTATATAAATAAAATTCTCGTGTCACAATGTTCGTTCCCATACTCCTCCGAAACGACTCGACCGATTCTTATGAAATTTTTATGCACATCCAGTAAGTCTGAGAATCGGCTACTATTTATGTTCAAACCCCTTAGTGATAAGAGGCGTCCACCCCAATTTTTTATGATACAGCATACAAAAATACATACAACCCTTAATTTTCCCCCCCCTCTACGATCAACCCCTATTTTTTATTAGTTAACTAATCTTATGACTTGAACTCAGTGTAGCATAGCAAAATGTTCCATGTTAGTAGGTACTAAAAAGGTAGGCTAAGTAAAATCACATCAAGGAGAAAAGAAGTTCGCGGGGGCAACTAGTAATAGTTATAAAATCTTCCATTATTTTTATTTTTTCAATTAACACTCCGATATCTAGAGGATTGCCATAACCATCAAAGAAAGACTTTACAGATAACATTACAATTCTGTATTATAAAATATACTTTAATACAGAGACATCACGATGTTACAAATCCAGAAAATTTAAAATAAACTTGCTACTTGTGCCTATGGTATAAGGCTCTGGACCACTTTTTTAATAAGAAACTGTCTTATCTTCTTAAGATTTTAATTTGAATTCGTCGAGCCAAAAACATTTCCGCATTGATTAAGGTACCCCTTATCATTTGTTAATCAAATTTCAACTCTCTGCAGTGGTACAAAGGTTCAATATCGCGTCGTCAATATCTTCAATGGCGGAAGGCAGCAATCGTACTTCAAGCTGCGTGGCGAGGCTGGTACGAAAGAACTGTCTTTTTGCGACTTCGAAGAGCAGCTCTTACACTGCAGAGGCATCTGAGAGGAGCCTTTGCGAGAGAAGTTGCTGCTGCTTTGAGGGAAATGAAGAGAGTCAATCAGGAGATGAAATTGAGGGAAGAGAGGAATAGGTATGTTCCATGCTATATGTAATTTACATATCTTTGTGCAGTGGAAATTGGTACATATTAATAAAAAAATGTTTTTAAATATATGTATTTAATATCATAAACTGACCTTTTAAAAATAAGCAGCACATTTGTTATTTGTTCCGTTATATTCTTTAAAGTAAAAATTTTATAAAAAATAATTTAATTTATATGGACAATACATTTCATCTATCTCTTATATATAAAATTCTCGTGTCACAATGTTAGTTACCATACTCCTCCGAAATGGCTTGACCGATTTTTATAAAATTTTATATGTATATTCAGTAGGTCTAAGATTCGGCTACTATCTATTTTTCATACCCCTAAGTGATAAGGATTGTCCACCCCTAACATTTTAACATTTTCTTTTTATTTTTTGGACGAAATTTTAATTTTAATTTATATATAACCCTTAATTTTCACCCTTCTATGATCAACCCCTATTTTTTATTATTGATAGTCTATATTTTATTGAACTCAAAAAATGTTTCCTATAAATAATATACATGGCAAAACGACGTTTGCCGGGTCAGCTAGTATAACTGTAAAATCATTTTAAACTAATTAAGACTATTCATTAAAGATATTTTTTCCACTTCCAGCCTTGCCGAAAAAGCAGAACAAGAGCGCGCTGAGTTGGAAAGTATGGCGGAGAACCTACGCGGTATAAATTGTTCCGCTCGCGCAGAATCCGTTAATTTAGACAATCTCTTCGATTTCTTGGCGGATGTACCAGCCCAAAGGGGCGCGCCGGATGGACAACCAGCTCATCAACCCACTATTAATGAGATTGGAGACTCTATTGAACGGCTGGCTGATGATTTGAATCAGGAGGTAAGGAATTTATAACTCTATTACTGAAATTTTAATGTTTGTTGCCAACATATGGTGTTATGAAGAAAAGTTAAGAAATAACCTAATTTAATAATAAGCACACCACATCTAATATGATAAAATCTTCTACAGTGACTATCTAATGATAATATTATAATTAAAATAAAAATTTTATTAAAAAAAATAGCATTGCCAAAAACATTATCTGAAATAGATATAAACGTTGTTGCGCTTCGTATACTATTGTTGATGAATATGTTATATTTTCACCATAATTAGATATATATTACCGCAATTTACAATACCTATGTATCAATAGTAGATAGAAGCTTGTATAGAAATCATTACATTCATGTATATAGTAAAAAACAAGACCATGAAAATTTTGGTCATTTTTGGAATCGAAAAAGAAGCTTATTTGTTACTTGATTAAAACAATCATTTCACACTATATTTTCAGTTGGAACACGTCCTAGCGGAAGAGATGAGTGAACTAACTAAGCACCCAGACCAACGGAAGCCTGATGGTGCACCATCTGATGCCTTTCCACCACCACCACCACCCCCAAACTCACTACCCTTACACTCTATACTTCACCCGGCGACACCTGTCTCCATGAATGGTATTGTCAATGGGTCACCTGAGAATATGACGACCTCAATGAACGGTAAGAAGTTTTCAGTGTGTTTCTGTTGAACTATTGGCAAAGCGCGTTGGATAGGATTTCTTAAGTTTAAAGTTTCCTATTGTTTTATATGAAAAAATATTTAGACATCCCGCAGGATTTTGGAGACGTTACCAAAAACTTAATTGACATATTCGATTTCACATTTACGCTGTCTAAATTTTTGCGTATATATCTTGATAATGATTTTTTTATAAACTGTTAGGTCGCATACCGAACGGCGATGCGATGTCATCGTCTCTCATTCTCCCACCACCTCCGGTATCAGAGCCATTGGTGGAAGGCTCTCCAGCCTTCCCGTCACCACCACAATGCTCTTTACCAGAACCGGCCGGACCTCCGCCGCCGCCCCCTGTCAAAGGTGTGGCATATGCATGCACGGTTTTCAGTTTGGCATGAAACCCGCATATGTAGACACGTGTTAGCGTACAGAGACGCAATAGGTAGCACTCGATTAATCGATGTAGACCTTTGCACCATTTTAGTACCAAGCACTTTTTCAAGAATTAATTAATAATGATTATTTATCTGGTACTCGCGACCTTATCTTATCTAGCCTATGTTTATTTTTTACATATTTATTGCTGCAGGCCAAAGCAATTCATTAGAGTAAAACGAAAGCATTGCCACAACTTTAAACTGATTGTCTTGTTGTATCTAGCAAGCCTATACTTCACATTTGTCCCAGCACGTTTTTTATTACAGCTCGTATATACAGTCCAAAATTATATCCTCGTTCCATAACGTACTAAAAAGGTTTCAAATAGCTATTGAATGTTTATTTACAGTTGTTCAAGTTAACATAGAAAGTTTTTGCGTTTGTAATATCCTAGCATCTTGCAAACAATTTATTTTTTTTGGAAAGATTGTATAGCAGTTTGAGTATGTCTTGGTTTATTTTGTTTTTAGCATGCTTTGAATCATACGTTTTTATACATTTAAATGGAAATGTATGAAATTTGAATTTAAAAGTAACTATTTTTAGATACCACACCACCAGAACTGACAAATGGCATCGTGCCGAACGGAAAGCTTGCTGTTATCAAAGACAAAGAACCTATATACGAATCTGTTATACCGAGACCAAATGACACAGAACCCGTCATGTTGCCCCCACCACCACCGATTTATCCACCAGAAAATAATGGGTAAGTTCTTTAGATAAATAAAATACTATTAAGATTACCTAATACGTTCCTTCTGGCCTTACGGGACAATATATTAAATTTATAAAATAAATATTTTTACCAGTTTCTTACACACAATATTATCACGTAACTACCAAGAGCTTGGTAGTATTGCGATAGCCTGTAATTTGTTTAAACATTTCAAAATTGTTTAATTTATACCATATAGTAACTATAATTAAGTACAATGTTTTTTTTAATACAAGTACTGTGGGACAAAGCTCTTCCGTAACTTATATGGTAATAAATATGTATATTGTAAACTGTAGACTATATGTGCGTATGTGTGTGTGTGTGAATGTTATGTGAGTCGTTAAGTAGTATATTATTTAATCGTCATCTTAATAATAATAATTAAACATAGAGCAGCACCAGCAGTTGTCATTTATTCACTAACACTAAAACGTCGTAGTAAGATCTTAGTATATCTTATTCTTTTATTTATATAAAAATTTGCTTGTACTAATTTTTCATTCAGCTTACCAAACAAAACGCCCGAAATGGAACCGGAAGCTCCATTACCGCCATTGCCGAGTAATCTTACGTCACCGGAACAAGTGGAAACACCTTCTGTTGCAATGGAATGTATAAGTCCGCCTCCCATGACTAATGGAGATGTAAGTGTGAGTAAAATAAATTGATTTCTTACATTGTTTCTTAATTGCATGTGTCTGACTGATAAAATATAATTTATACAATTGATTATATAATTAAACTTCGATGAAAACTTAATCGCAATTGGCTAATTCAGTCGATTAATAGACAGAGAAAAATATCTTGCTGGATTCAGCCTTTGTTTTATATAACGGGCGGGCCCGTTTGCCCCGTGTGTGTAGGAGCCTCCTGGCTCATCTGATGTTAATTAATATCACCGCCCATGGACACTCTTGACTCCAGAGGGCTCGCGAGTGCGTCGCTGTCCTTTTAATATTTTTTTCCTATTTTAGCCTTCTTTTTTTTACATTTTTGTTCGGCTAAACGCAGCAACGAAGTGAACTAAGGGTGGTAAAGTTATCGGCACTAAGTCACAATTAAGATAACATGTTAATGCAACATGCTGCATTATATAAAAAAGTACCGATCATTTCTCTTGAGATATTAGTAGTAATAAGCCGAACACAAAAAACAAATCTTTTGCAGAAAATCTCAAAGAAACTGCGGTTTGTGGCGCTATGTGCTCTAACAAACTCGTCACAAAGGTTTATATATAGACGATATTAATTTCATTAATTCTATTTTAGAATACCGAAAGAAGCGCTCGTAGAAAAGAACGAGTGGAACGTCGGTTACATCAACTAGAAGCACCAGTTAGTACTGATGCACCCGCAGATACTGACTTGTCTGAATTTGCCAAACTATACTTCAACGACCATCCGCGATCACCTGAAGGTAATTCGTCATAGTCGTAGAATAGACGCATCTGACAAATAGTAAACGTTACAGGGCAGCCATTTCAAAATAATATAATCATGTTAGTTGTCATAGGTAACTATTTTAATTCATATTCTGTTATTATAAAAATTGGCATACAAGCAAACAAAAGGGTTTGTTTTGAAACAAAATAAAAATAATAACATTAAATGACATAGTTTTCTAGAAAAATCACATGTTTCTATCAATGACTGATTAATTTGAAATTTAAAACACGTGGATTTTTTTTAATGTAGCCGTAATATTTAGATGTAGTATCCAAATTTGATAAAAAGTCGATTTTGGTTTTTTTCAAATCCGACATTGTTCTATGATCGTGACGAAATAATTCGTAGCAATTGTCATTTTCATAAAACTGCCGAATTTTTTGAATGATTTCGATTTGAAAGCACGAACTTTGAGTCCCATATGTTAACATCATGTTGAGATCATTATTATTCTATGTAGGTTAAGAATATTGTGTATTTGATATTTTTACTTGGGTGTTGGAAATAAATCTAGGTTATTAATCAATTGAAATACATTTTTGCAAGAACGAAGTCTAAGCACTAAGCCTCCTACTCCTTTAATTTATCTCAACCATTCATAAAAATCTAATGTGAAAGAATTCATTTAGTTTTTTACACAGATCGGTAACAGCTCGTAAAAAATATCTCATACAGCCCTGCGATTCTGTAACTCACTTTTCGAACTCACACAGCGGTTTTCGCATCGGCGGTCGCTCTGAAATCAGTCGTGAAGCAGTCATTTTATGATTTGGCATTCTGAAAAGGTAGGAGCTTGTAGTTTATTGTTTATCAGAATGCCAAATCATAAAATGACTGCTTCACGACTGATTTCAGAGCGACCGCCGATGCGAAAACCGCTGTGTGAGTTCGAAAAGTGAGTTACAGAATCGCAGGGCTGATACGTAATACACACTGTATTACATAATGTATGTATTTAAAACGACTTCAGGTACAATAATGGCTACATTAACTCGTAAAAGCAAGTCAATGGAGCTGCTGACCAAAGAGGAAATGATAACATACCACAAAGGCAATAATATACCCACATCGCATATACAACTTCATGATCCAGATAGCGTGACAGCTGCGGTTAACATTTTTAGAGTACGTATCTTAATCACTTATCAATTTTAGTTTTGACAATTGACAGGTCTTTACAAGCTCAACCAGACATCGGTACGCAATCAAAATTTTCAAATCTTTTTGAACGGTTTTTTTTACTTACAGTGCATGAAATTTATCTTTATTTATTAATTAGAAAATAGTTAAACCAAAGTGTGGCAACAATTTCAAATATAAATCAAAATTTAAAGGTTTTTATAATTTTAGGATCTCTGCCGTTACATGAGAGGTGAGCTTACATCTGAGAAAGAAACACAAGTGATTCAATCTATCATCTCCAAAGGCTTAGAACGCGAGGAACTCCGCGATGAAATACTTGTGCAGTGTGTCCGGCAGGTGAGTTTTAATAAATGCACAACTATAGTTACTTTCCCGTATTTAATTTAGTTGACACAAGATATTTATTAATTTAATATAATGGCAGTTTTAACAGATGACGGATTAAAGAATATTTAGTATTTCAGAAACGTCTTGAATTTTCAGGCGTAGATATGTACATGGAAATTAAACAAGTAACATTTGTTTTTTTGTTTTTAATTTATAAAAAGCTTGCCAACGCTCGGCACACTGATACATTGTTAAAATCAAACACAAAATACAATTTTTAATGTGTCAAGCACTTAAAGGCAAACATGACATACATGTAGAGATCATACAAATATCAATCAAAACAATTCCAATTCCAATAAAAAAAAAATTAAACAAAAGAAACAATTACTAACCAAAAAATTATTAAAATTACAAAAAACTAAACAAAAATCGATTTAATAGTGTGAGGGGAGCAACTATGGATATCCAGACCTAGCTCGTTTACTAACATTGCTCCGTTTTAACTTCAGCACTCATTTCATTACAGCGTAAACACCAATGTATAAACATCAATTAATTCAAATTTTTATTTTCCAGATAACCGAATGTCCTGTAGAGGAATGGGCTGAACGCGTATGGCTCATTCTCTGCTTGTGCGCGGTTGCCTGGCAACCAAGTCGTGGACTAGCGCGATACTACTGCGCATGGCTTCGTATGCGCGCGAAACCCGTGTTAGGTTCGCCCGGGGCTGGATCTATGACGTCAGTGGGATCTGTGACGTCAAGCGCACGCGCATCCCATTGTGCGCAGTGGTGTTTGGATAATTGTAGGGGTGCAGCGCCAAGGCAGTTCCCGCCTAGCACAGTTGAAATTGCTGTAAGTATATGTACAATTTGGGTACGCTTCCATGCTTCCATTTTCCATTTCAATACAACCCGGTACCGGCATGTACATCACATGATGTGCCAAGATTTAAACACAAAATAATTTTATGTCTGATTAATTTTTTAAGCTGTTTTACCGTAAGTTTTTTTACTTGGAAGCGAATCCTTAAATAAACGTTGTAATAATTAAATAATTTTATAGTAAATTATTGTATTTACAATATTATTAAACCAACAATTTTGTTATAATTTATAGAGGATTTCATGGTTTCCTTATATTTAAAAAAAACGTGTGTGTACTTATGTCCACGCGTTAGAAGTAATACTTCTTTGGCGTAACAAGATAAAAATCTTTTCAAAAATTTTATCTTTCACCTTATTCTACGTTTGTAGAAAAATGACACTAACAATAGAAAAAACTAAAATGTTGACTATAGCTAACTTCAGGGTGTCGGTTTTTTGTGACGGTGTGCGCGCGCATCGTAAAAATTTACTCATCATTTTTCCCTAACGCGCCGTTTAACGTATTATTTTTGTTGAAACTGTATTAAGTGAATATATGAATGCCAATATGCGATGCCTTTTCCCAGGCAATGCGCCGACTCGGCACAATAGTCTGCCGATTCTTCTTCCTCGACGGCAGAACTAAGGCCATCGACGTACATCCTGCTGATACGGCAGCAGCAGCCGCCGCAAGACTAGCCGATAAGCTGGGATTGCCGCCACAGGCGCGCGCCGGTTGGGCCGTATATCAGCAACGAGCTAGTACTGAAGAGCATGTTAGAGCCACGCAGTATCTGTATGACGTTATCGCTGCTTGGGAGATGTAAGTGAAATCATTAGCGATCTTTATAGAAAACTAAAAAGGAAAAACAATTAAAATAAGACTGTAAGAATACACCCGATTTCTAAAAAGATCTTCTCGGTATGACTTTTAGTTTTATAATCACAATATCACACACGACCAGATCCAACTGATAACTCCCTTACTTAAAAATAGTTGTTAAGTTTGGTGACATTCTTTTAAGTTAGGATTAATTTAGAATATTTTGATGTGAATTCTAAAATGTAAATATCTTAAATGTATTTCAATAATTAACAACTGTTATTAGTCCAGTCATTATTATAAATCCAGTCTTGTTTTGAGCGATATTGTCGATATCGCTCAAAACAAGACTGGATTTTCGAATATTTTTTTATTTAATTTAGTATTTAATAATAAACGGGACAAGTATAAGAGTCCAACTCCTCCAACTTCGATTTTATTCCCTTTGGAATAGAGAATCTTGGGCCGTGGGGTTAAAGTGCACAGGCGCTTATTAACTATCTAGTACCGGTGACCCCAGAGCTGGTGATTTCTTGGCTCAACGAATAAGTATCGCAATACGAGGAAATGCTGCCAGCATTAAAGGTACATTGCCACGGGGACCAAACTTTTTAAATTTCTTAATTTTTTAGTTAAGTAAATTGTAAATACATATTATACGTATAATTTAATTAAGTACTAAATCATAATTATAAAACCTATGTTATTTGTTCTCAGGCAACAAGGACCTGGCGGTGGATCAGCTGATAATCGTTTCGTGTTTAAAAGACGTCTATTCCGAGGTGGGCGTGAACTTCCACATGACCCGGTAGAAGTCGCTTTGCTGTATGCCCAAGCTGTACATAGTGTTGTCAAGGTATACAATATTATTTTTAAGGAAAAAAAGTTTCCCAAAAAGGTGGTTTCCAAAACGTAATTTTGTGGTCTATTCTAAATATTTATCTATTCCTCATAGTTAGAACATGTATAGCTAATTGTATAAGTTATGTTTGAGTTTGTATAAAAAAGAAATTGTATTGGAAAAAAGGAGTAAACACAAGTGGAATTGAAAAGTCTGAAAATACAATATATAAGTATTTTTCAATGAAAATGTTTGTTTGTATGAATGGAAAATTTACAAGTTTAGTAGTTGCGCAATTAATGGCGTTTTAGTTTTTCTTAAATATGTGTCTTTATGACGGAGGCTCACCTGTTGTTAAGTGATATTGCCATGAACACTCTCAATGCCATAGGGTGCGCAAGTGTGTTGCCGGCCTTTAAATTAAGGGCCGGCAACTTTAACTTTTAACTTTTACCATTAAATCAACGTATTACAATATTTCAGATGGACGAATTTCCCGTATCAGAAAAAGTGGCTTTACAATTAGCGGGCTTACAAGCACAAGTGTCGTTAGGCGAACCTGCCGCTAGTCCACCTCCACCTCACACCCGGGCCTATTATTCGCATCCCGAACAATTCCTTCCACCACGAATAGCTAAGACCAGGCCGGCACATCAGTGGGTAAGTAAAAACTTTTATACGGCACTATTCATATATGTACTCTAGCTTGTTTTTTGTATGTAAACATGGGGTTTTTTACATTATCACACACATTATCTTAGAATGTCCTCAAAATACACTACACAACTTGACCGCATTGACGCCTTGCGAGTGCATAATAAACAATTCAATGTCAATTGATCGGCAACTATACGAATTCTATGATTAATTTAATAATGTCTACTCAGCAATCAGCATGTATGATACCAGTGTTGGCCTAGTGGCTGTCAACCCTGAGGTAGTAGGTTCGATCCCCGTCAATTATTAGACTTTCTCTATATATTCCGTACGGTAAAGGAACAGAGTAATGAAACCGGCATCTCAAATCCAAAAATTGATTACATATGCCAGACCGGAGGCTGATCACTTACTTCTCTGTGAAATAAAAATGTGCAAAGAAACGGATTCAATTATTATTTTCAACGGCAAAATATAGTATCGTTCATAAAAGTATAATCTTTATCTACACTAAAAGATTTTTGAAACACAAATAATCGCGTCTGCCTATTAAAAATGTCTCTGCAATATCCCAAAATTTATGAATTTTTCTTTTATTATTGTTTAACAGGCAACAATATTAGCCCAAGCTCACAGACAATATGGCGCGGGTAGAGCGGAGCTTACGGCAAAAGCTCTTTATCTCTCTTGTGTCATGCAGTACCCGTTGTACGGAGTCACTTTGTTCCCCGTCACCTATAAAGGATATTGGGCACACGGTAAGTTAACTCAAACTCAAACTCAAAATATCTTTATTCAAGTAGGTAACCAAGTACACTTTTGAATCGTCAAGTTAAATTAATCGTAAATTTACATTTACTACCAGTTCGCAAGTCAAGGGCGTAGAGCGGGTAAGAAGAACTGGCAAGAAACTTTCCGCCACTCTTTTTAATCGCCAAGTATTGTCATACAAATTGTTTGAACTGGAGCAATTCAATCCCAAGGATTAGGATCATTTAAGTAGTCCTCAAATTTATAAAAAGCTTTGTTGATTAATTTTCGTTTAACGAGGGCTTTGAATTTATTTAGTGATAATTCTCTAATTTCGCTTGGGAGCTTGTTGTAAAAACGAATACAATTTCCATATAAGGAGTGGTTTATCTTTTGGAGCCTGGTTGGTCGTACACTCAAATTAGTTCTATTTCGCGTATTATACTGGTGAAAGTCACCATTTGTTTTAAAATCGTTTATATTTTTGGACATACAACAAGGCTTCAAGAATATATTGACCAGATAGTGTCATAATATTTAATTCCTTAAACTTATTCCGTACCGACTCCCTCGGAGAAACACAACAAATACCCCGAACAGCCCGCTTCTGCAGCACAAATATGGATTGAACCTCTGCAGCAGCACCCCACAGTAAAATGCCGTACGACATAACGCTATGAAAGTAGCTATGGTACACAATTTTAGCCGTGACCTCATCAGTAAACTGTCGGATTTTCTTTACTGCATATGCTGCAGAGCTCAGCCTATTCGAAAGAGTCTCTATGTGTGGGCCCCATTGGAGTTTACTATCTATTGTTATGCCTAGAAAAACAGTTTTGTCAACAAAGTTTAGTTCACTGTCCTTAATTTTCAGGTTACCAATATCTCGCTTTACGCTAGTAGTTGTAAATCTAATACATTTTGTTTTATTCTCATTAAGCAATAAGTTATTTACATTAAACCAGTTAACTATACGAGAGATAGAATTGTTTACATCGTCCAATAATACGTTATTCCTATTCACTTTAAATAGAAGTGAAGTGTCATCAGCAAACAATACCATCTCATAAACTTCGTTGACAAAGAATGGGAGGTCATTTATGTAAATCAGAAATAAGAAAGGCCCGAGAATCGATCCTTGGGGGACGCCCATTGATACCTGCGAACCCGGAGAGGTGACTCCATTGACATGAACTCTTTGGATCCTTCCCTTTAAATATGAATTCATCAGGCTGGAAGCTTTGCCATCAACGCCATAGTGTTGAAGCTTTCCAACGAGTATATCAGGATGAACCTATGATAAACCTTTCTTAGCTAAATAGACTGTATGTTGATATGAAATAGTTTTAGTAAAGTAATACAGAAATTAAGTTCACTTATTTTAAAATACAAGCACAAAGAAACAAATAATTATCACAATTATTTGTTCTGAGTTGATAGTCTAACTTACTTGCTATCTGATTGATAACCAAAAATCCCACCCGTACAGGAGTTAAAAAAAAAATTGTGCGTGTACTAGGTGTACACACGTAAGAAGTGAAACTTCTTTATGATCTTATTTTTCGAAAAATGATCTACTATATGCAACTTTAAAGAAATTCGTTAAATTAGATAAAGTTTAACAAAAGGCTTTTATTATCATAGACAAGAATACAAATATTTCATTTTACCTTGTTACTACGAAGATTATTATAGAATTTCATTAATTGTAATAGAATTATTAGTATCATTGAAAAACGTGACGATTTGCTACAAAATTTCTCCCATACGTCGATAAAGAAGTTTCATTCCAACGCCGATAAAGAAGTTTAACTTCAAAAAGCAACATGGCGCGTAACCGAAAAATGTGACGCGTAACGAAAAAATGTTACACTAAATTTTTTTCCAACCTCGATAAAGAAGTTTCACTTCAATAATAACACGTTCATGTACAATGACATGTACCTTTTAATGATATATTTTAGTTTATGTTAAGTTTCGTTATTTATTTCAATGTATATTATTTTATTATTATTAGTTTATGTTTATAAGTTTAATTTTATTAATATTGTTACCATTACACTATATTCCAGATTTATTCAAATCTCAAATGACATGTACTTTGTACCACATTACAGTGACGTACACATTACAGAGTTTTTGTAAGATTATGAAGATTTTATATATTTTAAGTTTATCAAAACGATTCTGTTCAGGAAAAGTCAAAGATCAGACTGCTATTATAATCAGTGTCACGAATCGTACTTAAAACGCTAATACTTACACTGAATCATACTTTTCTAACAAACGAAACCAGAAATAAAAGAACGTGGATTTTCATACAAATTTCTCATTACAGGTCCAAATGTGTTACTTGGAGTTGGGTCAGAAGGGGTCGTTTTAGTTCGACCGGCTGATAAAGTGGTTTTAGCGGAATACCCATATTCAAACATAGCAGCGATACTCATGGACCCTGTGGATAACGGACTAACCCTCAGTCTGACGCATCATGGACAGCATGACGGTCTTCGGTAAGTTTTTTTGACGTGACAACGTCTTATAATTCGATGGAGCCGGCTGCACGCATGAAAAAACATGACTCATGCGGCGTTACCTCGCTCTGAGGCGTTACCTCGCTCTGAGGCGTTACCTCGCTCTGAGGCGTTACCTCTCTCTGAGGCGTTACCTCGCTCTGAGGCGTTACATTTAAAATTGACATAATTGTATTTATGCGTACAAATAAATGTAACTTGATCAATTCAATTGTGATTTCCATTTACCTCCTTCTCTATATCCATACAAAATACCTATCAAACAAATAAAATTTAATTTTTTTTTTGAAAAATGCAACCATCCCATCAATATTTTTTTATGACGTTGTCACGTTCAACTATCGTCAGTAAACCGACTTTACAGACAACCGATTTTTTTTTCTCTTTTAATAATCAGCAAACCGTCTTCACTTAGTCATAATCTGATGTGTTCTCTTTATGGATTATACTGTGTGGCTAATGTTCCAGTGAACATCATGCCAGATTCTATCACTAGTCCAGAGTTGGTTTTTATTACTATGTTCCTTAAGCCTTTTCATGTATATACGAGAATTGAGTGTTTCTTTTATAGTTTCCATTGGGTAAGTGATGTAGATTATTATAGATATGTTAATTTAGTTTCTATTAAATTTTGATGTTTAATATTAAATTACCATAATATTTGATTGAAAACCTGTTTTAAATTATTGTGTATTTAATTTTTTTATATATACAATATCTGAAAATCTTTATGACAAGAAAAGGTGCGGTTACCATGGTTACGATGTTATTTCCACATAGAAAACAGTTACCATAGTAACATATACCTTACAAGCTTTCCACCTTTATCTATATCAACCAAAGCTTATTTTAAAACATTTGTATTCACTCCAAAGGTGTATAGTCCTCGAATGTGCCCAAAAACAAGAAGCGGCGTGGCTCATGGCAGCATACAGTCCCACCCTCAGTAATAGCCTGTCAGAAGAACCACCGAGGCGTGCGGCCCCAGTAAGCGAGCGTACACGTCTAGCGGGCGCATTACGATCAGCGCGTCGTGCTCTTATCGATGGCGGGCTTTTAAGGCGACCACCGGATTTGTCTGCTGGTGGTTTCTTGAGAAATACACTTAGAAGGTAACATATAACCATACAAAGTAATATCAACTTCTATTTTTTTCAAAAAAAAATTCTTAATTTGCTTATTCGACTGGAACATTCATGAAATAAATCTGTAAAACATACAATTGTCAGTGATTAAAAGAATAAACCGTTTTTTAATATTTAATATAAATCAGCACGAATGTGTTGTATCTTCTATATAGAATATAACAAATGATACTTTATATTATATGCTGATTTTGTCTCACATAGTTTACAAAGTTAACAAATGAATGACAAATTGACCTTTGAATCATCGCAAATAACTACAATATCTAATAAAACACTATTTTGACCGGATTGAAGTTATGTATTATTATAAATTTACAACTATTTAACATAATTTTAAATTTATAATAATACATAACTTCAATCCGGTCAAAATAGTGTTTTATTAAATGAATAAAAGTTATGTTAATCAAAGACAATACTAACTACAATATCTGTCGTAAAAATATAACTTTTAGGTATTTGACATTTCCAGGCTAAGCAAGCACCGATTAGAACGAGTTAGACTCGATATATCAGCGGAATCTCAAGGCGAAAGCTACAAAAGCTTCTCAGCGGCATATTGGTGTTGGGCCCGAACATTGCCTCATTCGCTCACTAAACTTAATGAGGCTGAGGAAGTTGCTGCTATGCAGATCTTCAAGGTATTTTGATATAAGTACATCAGTAAATAATTTCTTTCCCAAATAAATCGCAAAATTATAAACATATATAAAAACAATATTATGTTTTAAATAAAACAATTTTAAAGATTATATATCATGATTATTCGAAACCATAAAGGTAAAAAAAAAAGGTTATTTTCTGCCTCGTAATTAGCTACTTGTATATATTAGGACTTGATAACCCTAAGATTAGCTTTACGTTTTTAATAATATTTTTTTTTAAAGTTTAGTTAAGTTTTTGTTAGATTTTCCAGTATTTCATGTAATTTTGTTTTATTGTTAATTTTTACGCACTTTACTTTACCCTCAGTTCGTATTTATTTTTTTTCCATACTAGGATGCCTTGAAAAAATCTCTTGTTAGCGATATGGCCACCCGTTACCTTATAACTTATGTAACCTGTTTTTATATATATGTTTAAGGTAACCAAGTGTAAATTTTAAAAAATTATAACCAGTTTGATATTTAAATGCCAGGACATAATGAGCCACGCGGGTCTAACCAGCAACGAAGGCAGCAGCAGTAACCTCGCTAGTAACAGTAGCGTCAGCAGCCACGAGAGCGACAGTGACGATAGAGTGGCACTCGCGCAGTCACTGCTCCAACGATGTCTGCAGAAAGACACACTGCTTTGTGAACTGTACATGCAACTTATAAAACAGGTAAAATACGCCAGAAATATTTAACGATTTTTTTTTATGGTAGAGTACGCAAAATTTTTTAATTTTTGTAATTTTAATTACATGTTTTTATTAACCTTTTTTATAGGCAAGTAGATCACTGCTGTGTTATTTATCTTAAAATAAAAAAGTATTCCACACTCGCCTAGTGATAACTTTATATCATCGGACATAAGAGACAAAAGTCATGTAATAGGGTTCGGAATCACGAACTCGGGATTGAGAATCGCACTAAGCTAGGCATTAATCTTAATCTTAAAGCTAAGCCAAACAGAAACTATAGACTACTAACAGAATTTAATGTCAAAATTGAATGTCAAAGGAACTTTAGGACTAGATCCATAGATTATAGATATTCTTTGTCCATAGACAACAGACCATCCAGAACCCAGTTCCCGTGTATCAGCGCGACACTGGGCATTGCTTTGCGCTGCGGTTGGAGCCGCTTTGCCCCCTGCGAAGCCTCTGCGGAGGTTGTTATTAGCGCATTTAAGATACCGAGCTGCCGCCTTGCATACCGGGGAAGAGGGAAAGTTTGCTAGACGGGCAGAACAGGTTAGAACTAAACTTTCATAATATAAATACGTATGTGTGTTTCACCTGCGACCTATATCGTTCTGAAAACATATATCCAGATATAGAACTTTTTTAATATTTCAAATTGGTTTATTACTTTTTTGTTTATAAAAACAATAATATATTTTTTTTAGCTTTAGGGAGCGTTCAAGTATTTACGTCACGCAAATTTGGAGATTCTTGTAACCGCCCCCCTCATACGTACGCGCCGTAACGTTTTTCTGTGTGTGTGCCTCTTTATACCTAAAAGTTACCATTATGTGATGTAAAGTACTGGAAAATGACTTTCCAGTACAGTCAAAAAATAACATTAGCAATAACGCGTAATTCAATCCCCGCCCCGCATCGTAACGTTTTACGATAGCAAGAAGAAACCCCCCAAATTCGTTACATAATACATACTTGAATGCTCCCTTATTGCAAACTCACAATTTTCTTAGTTTTAGTGATAATAGTTTATGGTAACATTAAAGGCCTCGAAATTCTGATTTTCGACTTAACATTCTTTTATCTTAAATAATTTATCACTTAATGTTATTCCCAGGTGGCACTAAGCATAGCCCAAGTGCCGAGACGCGTAGCAGCACCTTCCAAAGAGGAGTTGCTATGTGCGGCAGCGCGACGGCCAATGCATGTCCGAGTGTTGTTATTGGATGGAAAACAACATGGCCTTGTATTCGGACCGGCAGCTACTGCTGACCATCTTGTGGCCATGCTGAGAGAGAAAATTGGACTTACTGATACCGCTACTGGTAAGATTGAGTCACAATTATGACAATTGTTTAGAAGAACTATATTCTTTGGTGTTTAATTTTTATATTTGACGGCGCATCTGTCAACGTCAGACATCAGGTTGACTTTTAGCTGTCAAAGTCAACCTAGCGAAGCGTCATTGTCGATGGTTGTGAGAGCGGCCATCTTGACGTTGACACACGTCACACGTTGTTCGAGACGGCGCTCGCCCACCACGCTTGTGACGAATCGCTTTGCATCCGAGTGATAGTTTAATCTAGTGTTATAATTAAGTTGATGTCGTGTTGCTTAGACTGTACATTGCTCATTTGACTGTGTATTTCGATTATTAAATCCTGTGCTGATTAAACAACTGTAATTGTAACAAGGGCTTGTGATATTTCTGCTCCCGCCCAGCTGCCTACCTACCTACCCACATACATCACACAAGATGAGTTTTGATGAAGGCCATCCTGACTCTTTATATTAATTGTTAAATATAGGTTTATTATATTTTTTTTAACTTCAACTGTTACTGTTCACCATTCATAGGAAGAAGCCTTTCACAAACTATAAATTTAGGGTTAAAAAACACAAACACTTTGTCGTACTTTAGTCTCTTTGGAGTCCATATATAATTATATCCCTTCCCTTCTCTTTCTTGATATATTATCTTAAAATATGTTTTCCACCAGGTTACGCCTTATACGAGGTATGCGCCAACTCGTCCCCAGCGGGTACGGGGGAGCGTGCATTGGGCGGGGCCGAACGTGTTGGAGACGTACTCGCTCGATGGGAGAAGGCCGGCGCAACTGCGGCCGCTTGCAGGTAATTTCACTTCAATAATAAGATGTACATGTACGTCAATTTATATAACTATTTGGTATGAAATAGAGTAGAATAGAAATACTTTCGAGTAATATTTAGGATAAGAACCCCAGAAATTCTATATCACTTTGTCATAATTTTAATAAATTAATGATATTAATAGATAGATAGTATTATTGTTTAGCTATAAATTGGCAACATCTACCTTTTTCGTGGTTGTTTTTTACTAATAATTCCTTTTGTACTCTAATTGTCGAAGGGCTAGTAAAGTAGTGTGGACTCAATTACCTCACTTAGACGTTAATTTGGTTCGTTGTGCGTAAGGTCCTGGATAATTAAGCCAGCCTAGCTCCTTCCAGAAGCTCAGAAGTTCAGAAGAGAAGGCTTCACAGAGCGATCTCACTGCTCCGAGGATATTGTCAAAGAGAGCTTCTCAGATTTGCTTATTTTTGATAAAAGTAGGAAAAAACTGTAACCACATTCGATTTCTGCCTATGCATGTTAAATCTTCAATACATTTCCAATGACATTTGTAACGACTAGTTCTCTGATAAACCTTTTGATATCTTTAAATCATTTTTAAACTATTTTAGGCTAGTATTCAAGAAGCGCCTGTTCCTTGGTGAACGGCCACTTCACAGTGCTTGTGGGGCGGAATTAGAGTTATTGTATTACCAACTACTGCATGCTGTGAGACACGACCGCCTGCCCATTGAAACTGACGAAGCGGTATGTTATTTGTTTAAACTTAACATATTACGTGTAAAGTGTAATAATTCTAAAAAAAAGGGTGCGTGTACTTATGTACGCGCGTAAGAAGTTATACTTCTTTGGCTTTCTTTATTTTTTTTAAATATAATTAATTAATAATTAATATTTAACGTAAACAATTTAATAATATTTAATTTAGTATATTATTCAATTATTAATTAATATTAATAACAATTATTATTATTATTTATTATTTTATTATATCATTCATTAAATTTAATAACTTGGTATATTTCATAACCTTTTAACTAAGTAACAATAGGTCTTTGTGAAAAAGCATTGCTAAATTTCTTTGAAAAAATAATTTAAACCCCTTTATTTGTTTAAAAGGTAAATGTCATTGTGGTCATTCAAAATTCTTGGCATAGCTGCTAACTTCACGCATATTCTATTTCTTTTAACTTGTAGATTGTATTATTCCCATCTCGCTCGCGCACGCTATAATCACACTGACAACTTTGTGTCTCGCGCGCGCATCGTAAAATTTCACTCTCATCAATTTTTCATAACGCGCCTAAAGAAGTATACCTTCTAATGTTCTCCTATTTCAAAATAAGAGGTTTTGTGCCTTTAAAAACGGTACAACTACTTTACAAAACATAAACCCAGCCTCGTATTTCAAAATTTTTTAGATTAATCTAGTAACTACTCTAACAGTAAATTTTTCGTGATGTATTGATTTTAGATGTCTCGAATGTTTTTAATGTGTTATTTGGGTGTAGCTGAACTCTTTATAATAAAAACAAATTATTATCCGCTTACACTTGTTATCCTAATAAACAGGTAATGGTAGCGGCACTCCACGCCCAAGTAGTGAAAGGCGAATGTTCTGGAGGCGAGGAATGTGCCGCGGCGGCAGTAGCGGTACTTCCAGCAAGATTGGCTCCAGGGTTACCAGCTCCAGCTGTGCGATTGCACCATCTGGCTTTGCGGGGCACTCCGCCTCATGCAGCTATGCAAAGAGCTTTGACGTTGGCTGCTTCGTGGCCACTTGCTAGGGCCACGATATTCGATGTTATGGTGAGTGGTGCTAATTTGTTAATGGTGATAATAAGAAAAAAAGAAATTGAGAAATTACTAATAATAATCCAGTGGCGCCAATCCAAGCGCGGTTCTTGGCCTCAGATTGCATTCGTTTCTTTAATCATTTTATTTCATAAACAAGTAGGTGATTCTTCCTTTCGTCGTCGACAAATCACCACAAATACTGACCGTAATGGTAGGTATCGGAAAATTATGTTTAATTTCTCTTTATGTTATCATAAAAATGTATGAATGAAACTTCTTATTGAGTGAATTAAATTTAAATTATCAAATTCCAGCAATCATTTACATCGAACTGGCCTCGAGCCCTCTGGCTAGCGGTAGATGCACGTGGGTTGACATTATTACGACGCGGGTCTCGCGCTGCCTTGGTATCTCACGACCACGACCAGTTACTGGCTGTGTCTCCAGCTCCAAGGGCTCTGTTACTCGTCACAAGGGCTGATAAGAAACACGCCAAGCTGGTGCTTTCTACTGACCAGGTACATAGAATATTTATTTACTCCAGTATTCATACAAAAGTCTGTGAGGTCAGGTTTTTTAAGTTTTTGCTGTTGTAAATCGTTTGTTAATAAATTTACTCTTTCTAGGCATACCAGATCGCGACACTGATAAAGGACTACATAGAAGCAGTGCGGGGCCCCGTGTGCCCCGCGGTGCCACAGCCAGGTGGCGCTCCAGCCGCATCCTGACATCCGCACGCCTAGTGCCATTGCTTCCACGTCAGCCACTGAGCTACGGCTGGTGACGGCTACACGGTGTGACTGGGATTGACGACCGTACCTTACTTTGGCTTTGCTGGAAAATACTTTTTTTGCTGGAAAATACTTTCTTTACTGGAAAATACTTTTTTTGCTGGAAAATACTTTCTTAGCTGGAGAATACTTTTTTGCTGGAAAATACTCTTTTTGCTGGAAAATACTTTTTTGTAGGAAAACACTTTTTTTTTTCTAGAAAATACTTTCTTTGCTGGAAATATACTTTTTTGTGGGTAAATACTTCGCTGGAAAATTTAATACTTTGATAAATCACACCAACGACTTGAAAACACAAGTTTAACCTGATCGTTAAACTCATTTCTTATTCATTAACTTACTTAAAGCCTCAATTTCTATTGAATTCTATGTCCTTATCACTTTTGTGGTAAAATAAATATCTGACAACTGTATTTGGGGCTGTACGTTTATGAATAAAACTATTTACACACAATATCTGTGTCTTGATGAGTTTATAAGTAACAAATTTCATTTGTTTTCTAATTTCGCGTCGGATTTTTGAGAACAAATGAGATAACATATGCTTAGTATTACACTAAACTTCTTAGCTATTGTAGGAATAAAACTTCTGAGATCTTTGTCTTTATCGCTACTTCTTTTTCTCTCGTAACGAAATATACCTTTTCAATATTTTCCTCCCAATTTTTCCTTAGTATCGTCCCTTAATTTCAACTTTAAAATCTCATTTTTACAGCAACTATGAAGTTTAGCCTTTAGATAATTGTTATGTTAATCGACATCATGGTAGAATTACCTTTAAATTATTTTAGTATGTCTAGATAATTTTGTATTAGCGCACTTTATTGTAGAATTAAATTACGGTCGTGAAGTAAATGTTTGTATAGTATTTTAAACTAATTTTACGCTAGATATATTTAAACATGCTAGTCTTTGTATTGATTAGTTAGTAAAATCTCGCCTTTGTTCCATTTACTTCAAAGATTTGACAGGTCAAGATTGAGATTCGTAGCCAGATGACGGGGAAGCAAAAGCGCGGGTAACCTTCATCCACAGATTATTCCTCTCTCCTCACGTCGTTACACGTGAATTACAGTGTAATGAACTACATAAATTATATCAGTATTATTAATTAAATGTTTTATGTGAACAGTTTAATCATATTGTTAAGAATTGGGTGTTAGATAGTATACAAATCTTATTCCCCTTTTAGTCTGTGCTTAACTGTCTAGATGTCACTATCGATTTTTGGATCTAATACGATTAGCGCATAACATTCGTAGGCGAGGTTTCTTTATCTTGAATCGCTGTAATACACTTAATATCGAAACTACAAGGCCGTTAATTGCACTCAATTATTTCCTCCAACGTCTTTAGGTCCCTCTAGAGCTAGAACACACTCTAAACCTCATAATATAACTTAATATGATGTTATAATAATCTCTGTAGATGAATATATAGTTACTACATCCTAATCGTAAGAAATCATATCAGCTAATTCCTACTGTTAATCCTCCTTTGCTTCGGTGAACTTTCCTGTACTGTTGAGTACGTAGTATAGTATATTATCTGTTTTCGATTGCGAATAATTTTATTCTGATGTCTTATTTTGTGCCTTGTAAAGCAATGTCGCTGACCGGCCAAAATTTAAATTTAGCTAGTGTAAAATGTTAAAGAATCAAAGCTTTTTTGGCGTCAATTACTCTAAATCAAAGTGATTTGTTATTTACTCGCCGTCAGCGCATTTGCATATAATCAGTGAGCCAGCTGCAAATAAATTGAAATTGTTCCAAATATATCTTCTATCTTGCATATTATGACACTATATTGCACAATGTTATGTCTCAATATTTTATGATAAAATATATAAATAGTAGATAATAAAAGTGAGCAATTCATGCTTCTGTAATGTTAATCATCTGTTTATTTTGATTTAGGCCTATTTGGTGCTTAGATATCGCTAAGATTGAGTTTTTGATCTCATATTGAGTATTATTTATTGTCATATCATGAATATGGTCAATAATATTTTTTATTTATTTTGATAATTTGTATATAATTGATAAACCAAAGACTTTGATCCCTTTGGATACAAATTTGTTTGACGATATACATTTTTAGTTATTTTTTAAGAATATGTATATAGAGATAGACTAACTGTTAGAATTACTGACATAATTGAATAAAATATATTAAAATTTGACGAAATATGAACGTTATTATACTCATGTTAAAGCAATGAGAATATAATTAAATGTTATTGTACTGAAATGACATAATATTGCTATAATTTAACATTATTCTGCAATGTTTATTGCAGAGGTCTAAATAAGTATGTAAAAATCTTGGGAAGACTTAATCGCAAATAAAATGTTTCGAGAAATATCTGGCAAAACACCAGTAGGGTTGTAGGCATTCATCAACATCATGTATTCAAAATATTTCATTAATTTAAGTTTGATTTGTTAAAAAAGGCAGTTTTATAAATAAATGTAAACATAATGTGACAATGCTTATAGCAGATATTCTTCCATTAATAGGACTGACATACTTCCGTAACCATTTATCAATATTTTTAAATTGTTTGGTTAACAAGTGTATGTTATGTGTAGATTTAAGATATTTATGAACAATAAAACTGAATCACCATAATACTGCCCAAATAGACTGATTATGTCCAAATATTTTCTCTTTTGATGATTTTTGTGTTAACTAAATGTCCCAACTAATTAAATGCCAAATAAATGAAACAATAAAGTTTGAAGTCTTTTATTTTTCATCCATTCTTATAAAATATAATTATTGTGTCACTAAACCTAGATAGTCGTCCATCAAGGTGCCAATAGCGAACTGTAAAAAAAAACAATATGTATGTTATTTTGCTTTTAAGCAAAAAGAAGAGCAGGAAACAACATATTATTCTATTTCATGAGATGTAGATAAATTGGTTAAATAAATAATATAAACAACTCCACTACATTGGTACGAAAATTTACGCATCTTTTCCTGTTAGAATTATGCGAATGAGTCAGACCATTTTACATTGAATATTGTACCATTAAGATTCAACTGATGAAAAAGGCTATTAAATTAAAATATATGACTTAGGGTCCAATTCTACGAGAGTAAAGTCGAAGCGCATCGAAGCGTCAAATTCACAACTAAAGCGAAGCCGCACTCTTACGTGTAGTAATAGGCATGAACAGTAGTGCTATTGAATCTTGCTAGTTTATTTTTGGCTTTTGGATTAAATAGGCGTTCATTTTTTAGCACCATGTAAATTAATTTTTCGTCCGAATCTATTGTGATCAACGCTGATGCACGCCAACTTCAGACTGAACGCGTAGGTTCGCTAGAGGGCGCGTGGAATCGCGAGAATGCGCGCGTACCAATCAGCGTTAGTCACGCGCAGAATGTTTGTAATGACACTTCGATGCGCTTCGACTCTTCGCTAGTATAAATTGACCCTTATGCTTTAATTAAACGTGCCAAAATGTAAAATAGCTCACTAGATATTATATGTAATAGTGTGTGCACTAATTTGGCCATTGGCTATTACTAAGATTATTTTTTTTTCATAAAGCTTTAATTAATAATTATATTGTTTTCAGACCCAAATCTTAATTTTGAGGATGATAAGTTATTCGTAATTCTGAAAAAATATCCATATATATATATATCATACATTTTATGTAACTCATAGCAAAAAGATGGCTAATTTATTTTAGTAGTTAAGTATTTTGTACAATTGAACAATTCTTTTCTCCTTATAATATTGGTATTAACTAAGCTTGTGGCATTTTTTAAGCTAATTTTTCATCTTAACTTGTTTTTAACTAGTATACCATGCACAAAGTTTTAACCAAGATGTAGATCCTCGTTATAATATTACTTACAATGCCTGTTGCATCAACTCTTGTTCCAACAATTTTTAATCTGATAACATCTTCCTCTTGAATAACATTATCTTCCTGTTTACTTTTGTAGCATGGTGGATTGACATTTGGACAAAATTCCATGTCAGCAGGGATTGACTGAAACATATTTTGATGATTAAAGAATTTGAAAAATTTGTTATTGGTTTGTGGACTCAGTTTCTTTCATTCTTTCATTTCCACTTCCAAGACAAGATGGGTAATCATATGTCATGGAAGTAGAATAGCAGTATGAAGACAACTACTAATAGAATAATGTTTTCTGGTTACTTACATGGTGGGAAATAAAGCAGCTTAGTGGTCCAATCTGAGCAAACATACCTACCTGAAAAGATTAAATATGAAATGATTACAGATCTGAAAGCACACTGGATCACCTTCCGTTAAGTAAAACTTGTGAGTTAATACTCCATCCTAGTGAAATAACTAACCTTTGGAGAATTCTAACTGTTTTGAAATATAAAGCTTTTTCTTATTACCTTATTCACTTGTGTTACAATAGCATCAAGTACTTCTCCTTTAAAAGGTCTGAAGACAATTGCCTTATACTTCACAGGATACACAACAAATCCTTGGCCAGGCTGAATAAGACCAGCCCCAATGCTATCTATTGTTGTCACTGCTATTACAAACCCATACCTACAAGTATGATGAATGTAAAATTATCATGTACACAAATAATTTAAACAGACTCAAACACTTAGTAGAACCCAATTATTAGTGGACTAAATAAACCAATTTCCTGAATTAAATCAAAAGGCTTTGTTACTAGACTATTTGACACATTAAATATTTATATATATATATATATCATTAATAGAATATTTTATTATTTTATCATATTATCTTATAGCCACTCAATGGCTATTCAGTTATTAAACTGTCTGATAAAATATCGATCTTATAGTTTAAGGAATTGCACGTTAATATAAGCACTAATATATGTTCATTACAAAAATTTTACTTTTTATAACCTCTAAGCAACTAATATTCAGTAGTACCTACTTTCCTGTACATGTCCCCTCAACTTCAGTATAAAGCTTCTGCTTAACAGTATCTAATAATTGTGGCCCGAAGTATCGAGGGTGCAATAATATTTCGTGTTCTAATGATATCTGAAAACAACAAATATGTATAAAATCAAATTAAAAAAGGATGCCGTTTTTAAAATGTTCGGAGATTGGTCCAAAAGACTTACGTGGTAAAACATCTTGTTCTATTTTATAAATCAGACATTATTATATACTTTTAACAATAAAAATAAAATAAAGAATAAAGTTTTTGTGGCATAATAATAATAAACACAACTCAAACTAGCGGTTTTGGCCAGCACAGTCCACAGATTGAGATCAGTTTTTCATTTTAACAACAAAGATAAGTTTTTCCGGCTGTTAAAATTATAACCTATTTAAAACACGAACTTATATAATTCAACGTGCATGTTTTTTTTATTCTGTATTTGGATTTGAATATACAGTACTATTTTGCCAAATACAATATAAATACGTATGTAGTACAGACATTTATTTTAAGTAATAGTATTCTCAGAGTATGCATAAATTGTAATGCCCTACTAGGTAACTGGTACAAAACTATAATTGAAATAGTTAAAGTTTTATAATATTTAGATAGAACACGTCTTGTAGATACCTTGTACCTTCTTTTACTTTTGCCTAGTTTATAAGCAGCCTTGCTATTCTGTAACTCACTTTTCGAACTCACACAGCGGTCTTAGCAGCGGCGGTCGCGCTCAAATCAGTCGTGAAGCAGTAATTTTATGATTTAATAAAATTCCGATAAGAAGGGAGCTTGTAGTTTATTGTTTATCAGAATGCCAAATCGTAAAATGACTGCTTTACGTAAAATGACTTATGACTGATTTGAGCGCGACCGCCGCTATGAAAACCGCTGTGTGAGTTCGAAAAGTGAGTTACAGAATCGCAAGGCAGTACTATAATTAACTTATGTGAGTTGTATGCCTTGTTTTGGTCCTTTAACTAGAGTAATTTGCATATTTTTCTATACATAATATTATAAAGGTCGTTTCGTAATCGTTTCGATTGTAAAACGCCCTAAACTTCATGAATTGATTTTGAAAATAATGGTCTTGGCTCGTCCGAGTCTATTCATCGAGAAAGCTATAAAGTATGTATAAATGAGGAATAACTACAGCTTGAATGAAAAATAATCCAATGCAACAAAAGAGAAAAATTATTCCTTTTTTAACAACTTCCGCTGCGTCTAGCAAACGGTAAAAATTACGTAAAAATCGTTACTAAATTGTTCGTATAACTTATTGCTGTAAGTTTACATCCTTTTCTGTGCACTTTACAAGCGAGTAAATAATTCTGTGACAAGTGACCTACGTTTCAGCGTTAAGCGATTAGCGATTAATCAAAAATGCCAAATGAATGGCCGTGTATTCTGTAATTTAGATTGTTGTAAAAAATGGCAAAAACTTACGACTATTTATTCAAATTGCTGTTAATAGGCGATTCTGGAGTGGGGAAAACATCTATTTTGTTTAGATTTTCAGAGGATGCCTTTAATATATCATTTATATCCACTATTGGTGAGTAATATTGTCTTTGTACTTAAGGTTATTGTCAAAAATCTTGTATTTTTTATACGTAATTACCTTCGATTTATGTTTTTTGTTATCTTTTGTTGTAAAAGATTCCACATTTATTCATAAGGCAAAAAGGGCGCGGTTCGTTGATGAAAAGAAGCCCTTATCGAATTAATTGAATGGACTGTTTATGACATCATACACTGTAATTTTAATTAGTTGACTCTAGTCTTTAACACTGATCGTGATCTCTTTCAGGCATTGACTTCAAGATACGAACAATAGACCTCGACGGCAAAAAAGTTAAATTACAAATATGGTGAGTATATTTAGATTTAGCTGTGCTTTGTATCAGATAATGTTTGTGTTACATTTGTTTTCACTTTAGGGACACAGCCGGTCAAGAAAGATTTCGCACTATAACAACAGCCTACTATCGAGGTTCTATGGGAATAATGCTTGTTTATGATGTAACTAATGAAAAGAGCTTTGAAAACATTAAGAATTGGATAAGGAATATTGAAGAGAATGCAAGTGCTGATGTTGAGAAAATGATTCTTGGTAACAAATGTGACTTGGACTCTAAGAGACAGGTATTTTTAATATTCAATGCTTATATGCTCATGCTACAACTGTTTTTGGTGTCAATATTTTTTTTACCTTTATTTAATAATTACAGGTATCAAAAGAACGAGGAGAACAGTTAGCAGTAGAGTATCAAATCAAATTTGTAGAAACATCTGCCAAGGATTCTTTAAATGTTGAATATGCATTCTATACACTAGCAAGGGATATCAAAGCTAAGATGGAAAAGAAACAGGTAATATTATATTATTAAATAATATTATTTTATTATTATAATACATTAGACATGCAATATATAATCAATTACAATTTTTTCTTGTTACATGACTGGTATATGGGCACAGAAGGTAATAAGTGTTGTAATATTGTGTATTTTTTAAATAGTTATGCTTTCATTGTTGGCCTAACAGCATAAATGCTTAACAACAACTCCTTCATTTTAATGTCTACTAACGACATTCATTAATTATTATTAAAGTTCTTCCTTGACTATTTATTTATAAGGAAGAACTTTATTTATTGTTTAATTATTTCCTATTCAATAACTTATTAATATATTATTATAGTTATTTGGTGCTGTGGCTTTACTTACATGATATTACTGATAATGTAGTTGATTATTGAAAATATATATGTGATGTTGTTTGTTTGTTTGATGTGTTGTTGTTATACATTCTTTTATTTTATAATATTGCCTATCTTGAACTTTACTCTTATTAGTAGTAGTTACTTTGTGTTTTATAAGTAGGTATAAACATTTTTTAATTAAAAATCATTAATTATAGGTATGGAAACCATCCATTGGAAACATTTTAAATATTTTTAATACCTTTAAGATCTAGGGTATATAGATTAGGAAAATTTAGTATATGGACTTGGAAAAATATATAGCATGTAGTAACACCCATGAATAAGTGGGACTAATTAAGGGTTAAGTTTTTGTAATAAAATGGTTATACTATATATGTTTATTGTCTAGGAGGCGAGTAACCCACCAGGCGCCCGTGGAGGCACACACCAGTTGAAGGCCAATGATCAACAGCGCAAACCGCCCTCATGGTTGTCTCGCTGTTCCATCCTCTGACAATGCAGTCTCTTCCTACAACTGCGCCAATTTCTCCTGTATTAAGTGAATTTGGGCCAAAACCCCAACACTATTTTTCGACCTACGTTTTTAACTGGTGCAACTCCGCATGGAGTCAAGACTTGCTTTTGTATTTTTATATCCATATAATATCATTTTCTTCAGGTGTAAAATTGTGGATATTAATTTGCAATGTCAACTAGAAAGTAGTTAGAAGGGGACACATTTTTCACCACATTTCTCTCCTATTTTAAACAGTATTTTTTATAATAAAATTGTTTTTATGACATTTTAAGTCTTAAAATTACTGGGTTTATGTTCACATGGACATGGTTTAATAGAAATTATTTCAATAGATTATTAGCCGTATATTTCTTTTGCTATATTAATTAAGATATATATTTTAATGTAATATATACTACATATTTAATTTGAATAAACAGTGCTTTTATAAATGGATTTATTTATTTTAAATTTCAGTGTCAAAAACTTAGTTTTTAATAATAATGAAACAGTGTAGTTTATAGAAGTAGTAAATTTATTTTCAACAATTATATACAGAATAGAATTTGTTAGTTCACTAAACATGAGAGAAATATAAGACAAAGTGACCAAAAAATTATAAATTTCATAACACAATTGGTACTTTTATAACTTTGAATACATTAAAGTAAAATGCCTTTTATGTTGCCTGCACTGGCTTAGATTTAAATGGTTTGAGGGAAATTGTTTTGACTCCTACAAAGGTACCTTTTAATATGAAAATTAAAATATCCAGGATTTTCCTTGAAGAGAGCACAATCAGTTCCTTACTCAATGTTGACCCTTTCCTCCAATATGCAACATAGCTGGGAATTGGTGGTAACTTATCTGACCAAATACCATTTCTAAGACTTTTTGCTTTATTTTCAGCATTAAGTAACACTGGTGCTAATTTAGATTGCATACTATTTTTCTTAATGCCTTGTGGAAGTGATGCTTTAGCAAACCCAAGTTCAATTAGTTTCTGTCCTATATCTAAGGTTTCTTCTGATTTAGTCTGAAAAAAAAATAGTTTTTTCTTAGTAACCCCAATAATATTTGCAGTTGTAATATAAATCAGCAATTGTTTTGTTATTTACCTTTGGTTGTGGTAGATGCAAAAGTACTGTTGAAACCAATTCATCTTTATCCCGGGTTATGGGCTTTAAAGTAACCATCCGGCCTTTTGCAACACAATCTAGCCAATTAACAGCATTTGTACTGACTATATCAACACCCCATAACTGCAAATTAAAATATTCTATTAATGCTAACTGGAAATTATTGTTTATTTGCAAATTGTTTACTTTCCATGTAGTAGCGTAACAATAGGTGCAGGGCTGGCAAAATGCAACGGGCCCCCAACCCAAGGGCCTCAGATGGTATAGTTACGCCACTGTCTCTATGTGTATTACCTTAACTGGTAGAGGAGGTTTGCTGGAATGCCATAATGGTATGTAAATTGGTGCCTTGTGATTGATTAACACCCTCACTGGTGAGTGTTGTACTCCAACATACACACCTCTAAGAGGCTCATGTTGTTTTATAAAATGCTCTGGAATTTTAGATGCTTTCGAAAACTTGCTAACCTGGATGTAAATACACAATTTTAATATTATGTAATATTTTATTATTTCACAGCATTTGGTTTATTTTATTTACCGGACGGACTTTGTGTATCGCAAGCGCTAAGCCTGCAGTTGCCAAGCTGTACACGGCAATCTGAAAAAAATACGAAATTTTAGAACCATATCTTTATTATAATCGCTTAACTGTTACAATACTTACATTTACTCCACGATAATCTTTATTTAATAAGCCCTCCATATTGAAGAACAATCCACCATCCATTTCAGACATTTTGTGAAAATAAATATGAATTTGACATAGTATTTGAATTATTATCTCATCAATGTTTTCGGCTTCATATGACTCTGATTTCTATTTTCTCATCGGTCGGGGGTAATTTTAAGTTTCACTTTTCGTATTATTAGTATAGTCAAAGTCAATGTCAAAAGATATTCTGTCATCTCGTATTTATAGAATAAAATATTCTGAGAAGTTGCCACTTTTAATAATATTTATCACGCTGTGATTTTAATTCCCACTTCTTCCACGTCAACTGTTTTGACAATTTGACAGTTTATTTGGCGTAATGTATCTTGCAAAGATATCATACGACAACATTTTAACATTGTAAATTTTAATTTTTAGTTTATAAAGTAAACCTCGAAAACATGTTGAGTGTACTAAATACAATTGATACAGGCCATGAGGATATGATTCACGATGCAGAGCTAGATTATTACGGTCTCCGACTGGCGACATGTTCTTCAGATAATTCCGTAAAAGTTTACGACATCAAAAGCGGAACTCAAACTCTTGCAGCTGATTTAAAGGGACACTTTGGTCCAGTATGGCAAGTGGCGTGGGCGCATCCGAAGTATGGAAATCTATTGGCGTCGTGTTCGTATGATAGAAAAGTTATTATTTGGAAGGAAGCTGGGGAATGGGCCAAATTATATGAATACACCGGTCACGAGAGTTCTGTCAACTCAGTAGCTTGGGCACCAGCTGATTACGGTTTAATATTAGCATGTTGTAGTTCGGACGGGTCCATGTCCATTATTACTTATAATCAAGATACAGGAAATTGGGATGTAAAGAAAATATCTGGTGCACATGCAATTGGAGTTAACTCAATAAGCTGGTGCCCAGCCATATCTGCTGATTTGAGTCTTGACCCCCTTACTAACAAAGATGCTCCAAAGAGATTAGTATCTGGTGGATGTGATAATTTAATAAAGGTTTGTATATTGTTTATTAAAATTAGTTCTATTAAACATGTAAAATAAGGAAAGTCTAAATTTCGTTAATTTATAACTTATGTATTAATTCAGTCAAATTTTTAATAGGTTAAAAAGTAGGAAATTATGATCAATTACAATTAATATGTGGGTGGCCTATGTTATAGATATGGAGAGAACAAGGAGATCAATGGGTAGAAGAGAATCGTCTGGAAATGCACATGGACTGGGTACGGGATGTTGCTTGGGCACCTTCTCTAGGATTACAAAAATCAATGATTGCTAGCTGTTCCCAAGATAAAAGAGTTGTTATTTGGACAAGTGATGACAATGTTTCCTGGACACCTACTATTTTAAATACATTTGATGATGTTGTTTGGAGTGTCAGTTGGTCCCTAACTGGCAATATCTTGGCAGTATCAGGTGGTGATAATAAAGTTAGCTTATGGAGGGAAAGTGCAGATGGTCAGTGGCAATGTATTAGTGAAGTAGCTAAAGGGTTAGGGCCAACATCCAATGATGAAAGAAGCACTCTGTGATTCATTTAAGGATTCCATGTATAAATTTGTTTTCATACTGTAATCATTGTTTCATTAATTTGAGTATGTGTAATCATTAACATTTTCAATAAATTGTTTGTAATTGTATATTTTTAGTCTGTTTTTATAAAACTTAAATTAGTCATGCATTATTGAACTATTTTTTAAACAAGGTTGTGGCCTCTATAAATTGAACTCCCTGAGATGCTATGCTGTCCTTCAATTATAATTACTGAATTGTTTTTAAAAATAAATGAAATGATTTCTTCCAATCCTAAACACACATCATTGTTTACTAAAATATAGTAGTAGTAATAGTACTATATTTATTAATAATTAAACCAAAACATGTAAAAAGTAACTTTATTATTATAATATCACATGTTGCTTAGATTAAATTGAATGATTTCTAACAATAAAGGCATTTGATAATACTGAGCTATTGTCTCGAAGGTAGCAAGTTGTGATCTTATTTCACTCGCTGGTATCATTAAGGTGAACTCTCCAGCACAGTCACATACTACCGTTAGGTTTTCTCGTTTGACCTGTTAAGAAAAATATAATTATTAACTATAACATTTATGTTATATAATATAAAGGTAAAATAAAGAATAACTATGTGACCACATCTATTTCATTGATAATTTATCAGGAAGGTATGATTATAAAGTACTTTATTTAAATGAAATATATAACATCCAAATATTTTTAACTTAAAATATTGTCATCTAACGCAAGGTTATGGCATTTTAGTGCATTGTCTAAAATTTTACTCTTAACATATTATATTAAAATTTACCTGATGACATCTAGTACAGATTAAATCCTGCAGTGTGTAAGACATAGCTCGTCTGTTCAATATCTCAATTAACCGCCATTCTAATTCTTGATTCTCATATGGTGTTTCACAAGTAGGACATAGGCATACAGGCCTACAACAAATGGAAGAGATATAACAAATAATACTCACAAAATATGAGACTATACAACATATTTTTAAAACTATTTTATTTGACTAAAATGTTTTATTTTATCACAATTATTTTTATTATACAACATTTTTCCTGAAGCTATGCTTTCTGAGTAAGCTCTAGTCAATCTAGTGGGCATAGTATTTAATTAGTCATTTATTCTCCTACTATATACAATAAGTTTATTGCGTATTGGTTTTGTACATAGTCTCGGTTATTGATACTTTGTATCTTAAGGTATATAAACCTCATTTTATGCTAACCGTAAAGGATATCTAAACGAAGCAATTAAAAAAAAATCAAAAATAAGTACTTGTTTGTCAATGCACAGATACAACCTGATTTTAACAGAGAGTAGATACGGATCAAAAGTGTGATTTTTAGTGTGATTACCACAATTGAGTAATCTATAAAAAAAACAATATTTTTAATAAAGCAACAATCCAATGTCCTCAGGTTACATGTTTTTAGATTTTTTGATACTAACACATCGCCTAGCGTAGATCTATGTGTATCCAGACACAGATCGAGGTCCCTACAATGGTTGCACACTTTGCAAATAACCTCGCAGAGGACGCAAGATGAAGACGCTTCCCGCCACTCAGCCAACGAACTGAATTCGCCAACATTGATCAATCGGAGCAGGTTACGCCGGAGGAGGGTCACCTATTGAAAAATAAAAAATTATATATTTTTCCTACTAAGCTTGTGGCTGAAAATTTTTTTTTAGAATAGTTTCTGAATAAATCTACCCACACAAGAATTATTGTTTTGCTGGAAATTCAGGATCTTCTCTACGCCATTAGCGTTAAACATTAAGCGTTAGAATTTATATAATTAACATAATATTGGTGATTATTAAATCTTTTTAGGAGTTCTTGATAATTACTCAATAAATCAATTTATTATAATATCTGGGAGCACGGTAGTGCACCCATTGCCACGTTAAATTATATATTAAAAACATAATAGATTTGTAATATTAATATGGTAACTGTTCACCAGTTTAAGATGTTGTCAGGTTAGCTAATTACATAAAAACCAAAGTCAAAATATCTTTATTCATATAGGTAAACAAGTACACTTATGAACGTCAGAAAAGAAGTTAAATTTATCATAAATTTACATTTACTACCAGTTCGCAAGTCAAGGGCGAAGATCGGACAAGAATAACTGGCAAGAAACTCTCCGCCACTCTTTTTAATCGCTAAGTAGGGATGTGACATTCTGCATAAAAAAATCGATTTTTTATTAATCGATTATTTTTTTAGCATGAATAATCGATTAATAAATAATCGATTTTTCTTAAAAAAATAATCGATTTTTTTTTATTAATCGATTTTTTCCAAATTTTTGAATTAATTTCAAAATAAACACCCTAAATATTTTATTTTTCATGGTTTTTTAAATAAAAAATAAACAATAGAAATTATAAACACAAATTAACGTTTAAGAATAATCAAAATCGAAATTAACTTAATCTCGTTTTGATAAATTCTGAGTGTAATCCTTTTCAGTAGCACATTGCAGTATTTTAGTTGTCTTTTTAATTGTATGTAGTCTTGTACTGCTGAATAAATTTATTTTACTTTTAAATTATAGTGTTCCATTCATACTTGAGTTTTTGTAAAATTAACTGCTTTTATCATCCTTTTGATGTTTTACAAAAAAACATCAATGTATCGAGTATATCAATACATCTTCAAAGAATCCGATTCAATGTATCGCATTGTAAACATCGTTGTGTATTGAATATCCCTAATAGTTCGAGGTCCGGGTTATAAAAGACCAGACATAATGTTGGGAGGTGGCAGATAAAAAATCGATTATGATTGATTTTCAATTATAAAAATAATCGATTATTTTAAATATAAAAATCGCGTAAAAAAATCGATTTTTACTTTTAAAAAAATCGATTTTAATCGATTATTTTTTCACATCCCTATCGCTAAGTATTGAGTCATACAAATTGTTTGAACTGGAGCAAATCAATCCCAAGGATTAGGATCATTTAAATACTCGTCAAATTTATAAAAAGCTTTATTGATTAATTTACGTTTTGAATTTGTGAGCTTTGAGAGCTTTGAATTTATTTAGTGATAATTCTCTAATTTCACTTGGGAGTTTGCTGTAAAAACGAATACAATTTCCATATAAGGAGTGGTTTATCTTCTGGAGCCTGGTTGGTCGTCCGACATGGAACTCACAACTTTTTACGGTAGATGAACTGCGTTGTGAGACTTCTTTTTTTACAAGTTATGTTTTTGAGGTTTACTGCTTGAACGATGGCTTTATTTATCATAATCTTCATCTTATGTTACAATGCCCACTATTATCAATTTTAATTCTCGTCTATTTAAAACTATCTATGAAAAAAAAATCACCTGATCTTCAAGTGCCTGATCCAAGGAGAGCACCTTACATAGAGCATTGACAAACAGTAAGGCGGGCGAAGTACCCTCTAGCGCCTCCGTTCTCAACCCGGGCGAGTTCTCCAGCTCAGAGATACGAAGGATGGGCATACGGGACTTTATCTTCTCCGTTATTCTGTAAAATATATATAGAAGTATAGTCTAAGGTTGCCTGGAAAAGATCGCTCAGATAAGGACGTCCGTTGCAATACGTTGTTCTTTCTTTATTGTTTCTATTAATATTTAATTATTGTGTCTAAAACCTTGTAAAAAACCTTCCTAAGAGTTCAAGGAATAAATTTAAAAAATACTCAAATTGGCGACGTCGTCTTCGAGTTTTGAGCTTAGCTTATGCGATTCATTTTTATTTATATAGTTGTTACAAGCTGTTTCCTAAATTAAGGAACACTGAAAATCGTCGTTACGCTTTTGCCGCAGTAAATGGCGAGTGTTAACCACCTCATCGCTTACCAAAATTACATTTCTTTTAATGTATATAAAAGAGCTAAAAATGTGAAATGGATGGTTATGCTTAATCAATGTTTTTCTTTCTTTCTAATACATCACAAACATTTCACCTACAGGTACAAAATATATATTATGTTTATATGTCAAATAACTAGCCTATTTGTTTAAGTTAAGTAATAAAAAGAGATACAATTGTTTATCTTCATTTTTTTCAACGATACAACCAAAATTGGAAATTCACCAAAAAAAGAAAAAAACTTGTAACTACGTATATATATATAAAATAATAAAATAGGATGAATGAAGCCTACATCATATTGGTACGAATACTTATAATTTCATACTTACTGAAATAGCTTTTGCGACATCTCAGTAGCGAGCAGCGTGGCCAGATTAGCAGGTTCTTCGTGAGCTGCACTGAGAAAGCCAGCGATCGCAGTACAAAAGTGTTCACGAACGCCGTTCGGCAGGAATTTTGCCAGATTCCATTGCATTGTTATGGATTTCTATTACATTAAAAAAAATGTATTATTACAGCATACTAAGGAGATTTTTAGAATGTTTAGTTACAAGTGCTATTTTGGTTATAATAATATCTATACGCACATAAGTTACTTCATACCTCCGACGACAATATAGTCGGGAAATTAGCCAAAGAAAAAATATATGCAGTGTAAATTGTTTATAACGTCATTCGCTATAACGCATAACTCTCTATTACGCAAATATAGTTAAATTGGTTTGGTTTAACACAAAACCCATACATTGATTCACTCTTTATTACGCAATATCCAGTTTCTATAACGAAGAAATATTTTCATATTTAGACATCAACAACATACTTAAGTGTAATTGTTTTTATAATAAGCTTAATGATAGGTAGAAGGAAGAAAGATGAATTAACAAAAAATACCCGAATTAAAACGCGTTAGGTAACTATTACCGCTTTACATAAATATTAAAATGGTTTTCAAAAATGACGACATTAAACGAGCATTAAAAAAAATGGCTGAGAATAATAATAGTAATATATTTTTAACTGTACAGTGTACACTGTATGTGTATGTATGTGTTTTTATAACTGTGGTGTTTAACTTACCTCATGATCCGGCTCCTCATCATCAGGCTTTGGAACTTGAGATGAACCCAC